TCAAGAAACAAGATTACTACTGCATAGCCGGAATCGATTGATTCTAAATGGGATTAAGGTAATGCTGTTGATAGGTGGTGCGCGATCGCTTATTGAGAAAACCAAGCTGCGAATTGTTGATCAGACCAATAGAATCAACAAAATTCCTCATCTTTATTCTGAGCAGCTTTTCAAACGGCCTAGCGATTATCGGAGTGTGGTGGATTGGTCGGTATGTATCAATCGTTTGTTTGGGACCTCCTTTATTCCGAGGCAGAATAAATGACGTTTTCCAGATTCCAGCGATAGAGTGAACATGCTCATCAGTAGCAATGGTATATCAGGTCCTCCTAGTTTAATTGTGTTTGGTGAAATGCCCTCAGATCCCAGCTTGGAACATGGCCTGATTGATTTGATAACTTGATGGATAGTGTTGAGCGAGATGTCGACTACTTAATAGGTTTGTTTCGGTGAGCTCTGTGTACACAGGCACCGAGTCAGCTTCGCGACTCGTGGCAGTGGCAAAAAGTCGCTGAATACTTCACAGATTTCAGCTGGGTCATGGAGTAAGTGACCCTCACCATCAACAATTTCGGTAATTAGAGGAGAGCGGTCACTGGTTCTGCGATGCAGTATTTTGACAAGCTTGCTAGCTTTGCAGCTTGTTCGTAGAGCTGTATGTTCTTCATTTTTTCCTCGTGTTAATTGCGCGTGTTTGAGTCTGGCGGTAAATTCGTGCATTTGTAAGATAAGTGAAAAGTCATGGGTCCTTCTGTATCTTGCAGCTAAGCTTTTGGTTTTCTTGCTGATTAAGTGCTTGACGATATCTTTGGAGACATGAGGGGCATGAATACATTGTGGAGCAAGGAAGGCTATAACGTGATGAATTTATTTATAGAACTGCTCCATAGCAATGTACACACTGGCAGAGAGGAAAAATATATCCCCGTCGGAGAAACGAATGAACTGTTGAAAGCATTCCCAGTTTATCTTATGGGTTGCAACTGGAATTGTAGAGGCGAGTTTAGTGGCCATTTTAATTTGGAAACTGAGTCGGATCATATTACGGTCGCTGCCAGGGAGATTGTTTAAGATTTGGGTATGTGGGTTGGACATCCCCAATATGAATATGAAGTCCAGTACATTGGCGGACCTGGTTGGACTGGCAATCCGTTGTGTCCAGCCCCCAGCTTTGATGGAAGAAAAGAGGCGTGCAAGGTAGACGTTTGGTGGGATGACCAGCGTATTTTCGCTAGGTTGAAATTGCTGGCAATAATCTGCTGATTGTATGGCAACTCTGATGCGAAGTCAAATGCAGAAGTGATACTTACGTTAGACGCATTCGGTGGGTTGTAGATACATGCCAGCAGTGGGTAAAATGAGACACCCTCAACTGACAGCCAAATAGACTCAGGGATATTTTCCAATTGTGAGTGGTCTATAGGTATAGCTGTAAATGTTTTGCGTAGGCATATACTACACCCTTCACCTTTCTGTCGCAGCGATCTTTTCGAAATAGGTGGTAGTTTGGAATCATCAGAGTAGAATCGTGGATCTGAAGAACACCATGCTTCAGTAACGAGGATCGTTTGTGGGTCATTGAACTTTGCAAGTGTGTTTATACAATGAAGTTTGTTGATTATGAATCTGGCATTAATCAGAATCACTGAAAATGTACTAAGTATTGGGGAATGATCGCTGTCCGTTGTGTGATCGTCTGAATCTTAGCGTTTGAGCAAGGTGCACATGATAGGTAAGTGCGAGTATGGTGGGCCCGAGTTAGCCATTAGAACGTTTGTTGATAAGGGTAGCATGTCATGTGTGGATATGGAGACAGTTGGGGGCACGACGGGAACCCAGGCATCATGCTTAGATTGCCGTTGGTTTGACAATGGACTAGCTTTGTCATCTGGACAAATTGGAGGAAGAATGGGATCAAGGTGTTGACCTCCGCCGGATGTATCTGAGATGGGAATGGGTGCGAGTCTATTCCCGTCGCCGATAAAAAATGGTTGTTGGAAGAAGTCGCTTGAGAAGTTGAAGGAACATGGAACAGTGCGGGTGGTAACATAGTCCTACTGGTCGACATCCTTCCACTATCTGTGCACTTACGGTGATTGTTGTGGAGTGTAGGATGATAACTAGGCGTAATCAAGAGACAGTTGTTATTGTTCATACTCAACATGGAAGGTTGTTTGCCCTGGTGGTTGTAGGAGGTTGCTCGATAGGGAATTTTGGGTGCCACCGAGTATTTAGTATTCATACTCTTTTTTAAAGACACAGGTCTCTGGATTGGAGAAGTCGTTTTTGGGCGACAGTGGACTATGAATTACATCAGGTTGTCTATCCTTGGACGTGTATTGTTGGTTTGGACCGGGTTGTGATATATTCAACGAGTTGTCGTTACTCCACTGTTCCAAGCACTTAGACTTCCCTTTGATCCCTGTGCACGAGGAGTTCGATATAATGGGAATGTTGTTCTCAGGATTAGGAGAACCCGCTTTGTCACTTCCTTGTGTAGAAGGTGTTTCAGTGGAGCAAGGAAAGACGGCTTTGAAGCTAGTTGACAACGTTGCTAGATTATCGATGTCCTAATCAATGCATCCAGTATCCACCTTGGATGCACTCGTCTTTTGAGCGTTTGGCTTAGATTTCTCAAAGAGCCTAGTTATTTTGTCCGGTGTTCGCGAAACAGTGCTAAGTTCGGACCTCTGTAGGGGTGTCCTATCTGGTTTACTCAAAATGCCGTTAATTTGGGTACACTGGCCTAGAAAGGGTCCACAATGGAGGAATCACTGCGCGACTTCCTCGCTCAAAAATTTGAAAATAATTGGGCAACAATGTTTCGGTGTCTTCTTTTTTTAAACTTTGGCATTTCCAGTCAACGTTAGACATGTTGCAAGCTTTCAGTATCGTTAGTTTGACTTTATCTAGACTCAGCCTGTCCGGAACATTAAAAACAATCACACTTTTTCTCTACGTATTCCTTCGTACAGTTCTGAGTCAACAGAGGCAATCAACTGCCTTGCTTTTCCCAGTATAACAGGATCAGTCTTCTCCAATGGGTTATTGATGTAGTCAAGCGTAATCAGGTGATCTTTGAGGGGTTCAAAGAGTGCCCGCGTTTTTCTCTGCTCATTAAGTTGTGATTCTAAAGAAAGCAATTTATCACTTAGTTCTGCGCTGAGTATAGTTTTAGCCGAGGAACAGGTTCGCTTTTCTTTTTGGGCCTCACATTTTATTCGCTTTGCTGGTGGCGTGGAACGGACACTACGCTTAGCTTGTTGAATACGGCGAGACTTCAGTGGGGCCATTACGATTTTTGCTTGTTGAGGTTCAGACTCAAGCGCCAAGGCAATATGGTTGGCGGCATCCGGTTTCGGATTTGCCTGTCACTGTGGCAAGCCACAGGAAGCCTGCGTCTACAGAGGGAGCATGGGTGGCTTGCGCTGAACCAACCACAGCTCCAACCACACACCCCATATCTAGTGTAAACCCGAAGGAATAAGACCGGGAGGTATGTGGATGGGAGCCATGCTTCATCAACGGAGCTGGCCCACACTCCTTCACAGGCAAACACAAGCACGCGGTATTTGGGGAATCAAGCGCACACATGGCGGTGGCTGGACCGTAGTCCGCTCCACACTGAGTGCATGGAACCACTCTTCGAGCCTAGCACGGCCACAAGGACCGTGCACCCCCTCCCCTCCAGCAACGACCAACTGTCTCCTGGAGCCAGTATGGACGAGGTAGCGGGTAATAGACAGGTAGGCACTTTGTCAACATGAACATCAAGCGCAGCCACACCGGGGATAGCACGCAACAGCCAATCACTTTAAACGACAAGCTGAAATAAAATAAATCCAATAATGCATACAGACACGGTGGCATAACTCTTCGCTAAATTAGCATATAAGTAATTTGGTTAGCAATGAATCCGCGATAAAGAAAAAATGTCCACAAGTTACTCAAAAGTGCTACAAACGCAACAAAATTACCGGAGATAAGCGCAATTAGCGTAAACAACGTGGCCAGCTAATAGAAGGTTATTCAGATAGGCAGAACAAACCAAATAAACTGGAATGAAACTTATGCAGCTTAAAGAGACCTAGTTTAAGTGTAAGTTGGTTTAGCCCAACTGCAGTGAAGAAGCATCAAGAATGCAACATCAGCCTCAGCATGGCGCACCAAGGTAATATACTGATGCAACAAAAACCAATCTTGCATGGTTTCTCGCCGTTGGAGTTTGATAGGTTGGTTAAACTCTACGGCCTCGTTTGTCGATAATAGCCACAATTCAACGAGCGTGTCCAGATGTGCAACAAATCCAAGATGGCAGACGCAGACGGTAGTTGGGCCAAATAACGAGAACTCCTAAATTAGCCAGAGAAGCGCCACCAAATTTACATAGATTGAAGAATACACTAAAAGGAAAATATTGCTGCACAATTCACACAGAAAAATCACCTATAATAGAGTAATCCAGAAGAAAAACTGGAATCCAGCACTGACTACTGAGTCGTTTCGGGGAATCAGTGGAATAAGGCATTTGAAGCAGTTTAAAAGACAGTAACGATGCTGTAAGAGTCAACACGTGAAAAGCTAAGGTGCACCAACCGGTAGGCACACAAGTACTGCGTTCTTGAGCTGAAAAATTAACTCGTTGGCTATGGTGTTAATGATACACGGTAGAAATAAGACCAGATTGTAAGAAGGATGGCAGATTCAGTCACTAAGGCAGCTACTGCATGTACTCCAACAACTTGACTGTATTACCCGTCTTCGGAGATTTTGTGGTGGCGGGTAGCGTACATAGCTCGCGGCATGATAAATTGATGCTTTCTATGGTGTCTTTGTTAGACTGCATGTTCATCTGTACCGAGATTGTCTGTGCTATTATGCAGTATAATGACAAGTTTCGCCTGTGACTGAGCATAAATGCATTACCAACGTAGCCCTCGTTAGAAACTAATCACCATCCTGTGATGCGGCATTTGTATTGATATTTTTCTGTCTTGCAGTTCAACCCGTTTGACGTCTGGGGTGATATCACCATGAAAGCAGAGGGCACGGGGCGATTGCTTTTGCAGTTGGACGTTAGAGTGAATGTGGAGTACCCTCAGATGCAAAAAATGCCACGAAATCCACAAAATACGCAAGAAGTGATGCGAAGCTTCGAGATAGAGTGTGTCCCTGGATTTGCTGGCAGAAATAACTCCATAATGCTAATGAACGCGTGCGGTCGTTGGGTGGGAACAGCAGTAAGTTATGTAAAATGAAGTGATCATATTTTTCCAAATTTTGGACGACGATCTGAATAATTTCAGTTTCAGAGTCATACGAGCTGTTGGTTCCGAAAATATATGGATGTTTGGTTCTTGAGACTTGGAACAGGATATCAGCGCGAAAACGGAAAGCGAAAGTTACCGCCTCGGTTTTATACTGCGCATTACTCGTGACTATATCTTATCACGTCTTTCGCAGCCGCTGTGTTCGGGATTTAGTTCTCAGTGAATGAATAATATAAGATTATTGCAGATACAGACGGAATGTATCTTGCTATCAGACAAAGTGTTCGGTCAGTTCTATATCCAACATCACGTAATTGGTCAGGAATATTAATTGCTGAACTTGAAAAAGAAATGGCGGTTGTTGGAAGATTCAACAACCTACTAAGCTAGCTGCTAAGCCAACGAGAGGTTTCCAATGGTTGGCAGGTGCTATCTTCGAGATAGACAGGAACTCAGTAATGTTATTTGAAGTGCAGAGTTGAAACAGAAACGCATTTTGAAGGACACAAGTGATGGAAGATAGGATACATCACACTGGTCCGAAGGAAAACAGAATGCCGTCTTTGTTAAGGATAAGCACGATGGTCACTTCTCTGCTCGTTAACGAAAAGCGTTTTTCTTAGTCATAATTCGACGGCGTCCAGTTGCTTCCGTCCGTTTCACCATGTCAAGCGCTGGCTTAAATCCGCCAAGGTTGCGGAAATTAATGAGCTGAATAGGCTCTGTTAACTAAAATGGAGAGCATGATAAGGGGCAGCCATCTTTTCATTGTTTTATCGTTTCAGATCCCGAATGAATGCTTTTTTCCAGCAGCTGTCACCCGACTTCGCACAAGCTAGGGCGATGTCAGTCCTGCAAGATTAATTCACTCAAGGCTACTTCAATGATAGGTCAGCCCGCGATAGTGCTCCAGCTGGAGAGAAACCGACCCAGACAGCTTTTCATGAGAATCGCGCTTAGATATCATGGAGGACTCGAATCTCCTGGGAAGTTAGTCTAAGGCGGAGTCATTGTCCTACATGTACTCAGTTAGTAGTCAGATGGTCAACTTAACACGGAATCGGTTGTATAACTGAGACTGAATTTCACGAATAAACAGTGCAGGTAGCCACTCCATGACAGACATGAAGAAATTGAACCTTAGATACCACGTGCGTGAGCATCGTCCTCGACGAGGTCAACCAAGTGACATACATGTATTACAGTGGTAGCATTATCATATGCGGTGATTGGCGACATTGCTCTCTAGCTTTACTTGCCACTGTGTCTGTGAACAGCCACAACATGCTTGCACTTACAGGCGGCGCTACACCGCCGAAGCATCTGAAACCCGGCATTAGTACAAAGTATAAGGCGGGGAGAAAAGCCGCAAGGAGCAACGATCGACCCGGTGTCGCACATAGCGCTGCTGTGCACTAATGGTAGACAGGCATAAATAAATAAATAAACGTTTTATTCCTCAGCAGTGCGAGGCACAGACCAATTGGGTGGTCTTATCAACATGTACAACGTGATCGCATAATATAGTTAATTATTCGTCTTTTGATCAATGGTTCCCATATGGGTTTTTGAAATGATTAGCAGTTTGGAAAAGTAGAGAGATAAAGAAACTGGGAACAATAATAAATGTAGATTTTGCGGAAAGTTCAAGTAAAGTAATACGGTCATCCATGGAACTGTCCCCAGGGGACTTGCTTCCATGCAGGGTATTTCCACGATGGGTTTCACCCGCACTTCCATGCTCCAATTGGCTCTGTGCCTGTGTGGCAAGATAGTAAATAGGCCATCAGAACTAGGTGTCAAATGTCTTTTTTAGGGCTGTTTTATGCATACATTATAGGCGATGAAGCCTCAGCCCTTTCTGTCATGCGGATCAATCAATTATGGCACTTTTTTGTTTTAAGCCAGCGAGTCAGTAGTAATATGATTTGCATGGGTATACTTTTTTAATTTGGAAGCTGTAATCCGTCGCCACAAGAGATCAGCCCAGTCATGACCAACGGTGAAACAAAGAAGAAGATAAAGTATGAGGAATTATAAAACATAATGATGAATACAAACGCTTGCCGATAGGCCAGTCACAATTTGATGGAAAATCTTGGCGAGTGACGACGATGGTACAGAGACATCAGCTTGAAAGGTGTAGTGCATCTACGAACCAGTGCGTCAAAGGAGAAAACAGAATTGGTTAGACGGATTAATAGGAGTAAGATCGTTCTCAAATATATACTCAAGAATGCAATTATATGTAGGTAATCTTATATTATTGAAACGAATAGAGGATATGGTGACTTTCATACGTATCCAGGACCTTTCTCATACAAATCATCTAGAGTCACCGTTTGGCTTAGTGTTGACCAGATGTTTGCAACAGTCAGGTGAATATTAATCATGCGTCTGAATTGTGCATAGGTAGTGCAGTTTCTAACACTCGATGGAAGTTTGTTCCATATTAACGCATATTTTACAGAGAAAAATTTTGAGCGGAGCTTTGTGCGAGACTTTGGTATTTTCACTGTGCGCTCGCTGTTTCTTAGTTCATAGCGCATACGAGTCTGAAACTCGAGTTGTGGCTGAGCAGTGAAGGTTAATCCGAATAGTAAGCGGTATAGAAGGCACAGATTAAGTTTGAGTCTGCGTAGCCATAGCGGCTCCAGATTTAGCGCCTCGCAACGCTCACGGTATGTCATAGTATTAGGCATGTTCAGAAACCTCTTTGTGAATGATCGTTGAATGTTTTCTAGTGCTATAATATCCACTTTTCTCAGATTACTATGCACTATCGTACAGTACTCAAGTTTCGGCCTAACACATATTTTAAAGGCTTGAAGCCTGGAATCCCTCAAAATAAGAGTTCGACTTATATAGGCGATCACTTTTCTGGCAGAAGCCTGCAAGAATATAACATGCTCTAAAAAGTTAAATGAGGCAGAATATCTTAGACCAAGGTCTCGGACTGCGCCACACACAGGAATAGGGGTATCGTTTAATGTAAGGATGTTCAGAGAAGGGCCACAGCCGTAGTACAATAGATTACTCTTGTCCGTGGCAAAGTGCAGCTTCCAGGAGTTACTCCAGAGCTCCAATGCGGACAAGTCAGACTGAATATAGGCTAAGTTAGGACTACATTGCCCAGGGGCGGAACAATACACAATTTTAACATCATCTGCGAAAAGGAACGGCTTTCCATACGAGATTTCGTCGAGGAGATCGTTGAAATAGATTAAGAATAAAAGCGGGCCTAGCACGCTACCTTGAATCACTCCACTAGAGATTGTAGTGGCTTCAGATGTATAGTTACCGATTTTGACTACTTGCTTTCTACCCTCGAGGTAGGAAGACAACCAATCTAGAAGCGAATTAGTGATACCATAGGACATAAGCTTCAGCAACAATAAATTGTGTGGGACACGGTCAAAAGCCTTTTGGATGTCAAGAAATATTACGATGATAGCACTTCCGGCGTCTCTTGCTCTAGTCACATAATCAAGGTAATCTAACTGGCAGGTAGTGCACGACCTACCTTTCAAAAAACCGTGTTGATGTTTACTGAGAAGGCTCATAGAACTCAAATATTCTATTATGCGTTCTTTAACTATCCTCTCCATGATTCTGGAGATAATAGATGTGTGGTGGATTGGGCGGTAATTTTTTACATCTTGCATAGATCCGCTTTTGTGTCTTGGTATTATAGTTGATTGCTTCCAGTGTATAGGATACTCCCCATTGAGCATGGAAAGTGTAAATACATTAAGCAAAAACAGGGGGATGTCTGGACCTCCGTGCTTTACCAGTATTGGAGGGATGTTGTCAGGGCCTGGTGAGCATGATGGCCGAACTAATCTGAGTTGGCGACATATGTCACTAAGTGTAAATTCAACAGTTTGGAGTGTATTTCTGCCTCTGTGTATCAGCTTGAGCTGAGGATCTTCATTCGCATTAGTGCTATAAGTAGACATGAAGTAGTCATTGAAGATCGAACATATGATTGCACGGTCGGTTATGGCAGTTCCATCAGAGTTTACAATGGTGTTTATACAACTTGATTTTCTATTCTGCCTACGGTCCAAAAGTTTTGAGATGCAGCCTACCACGTTGGCGCCCTTCAGTGCCATTACTTCCTCAGAGCATAGCATTTTGTGGTGGTCTTGGTATAACGCTGTAAGCAATCTGGTGTGGAGCATCAGCAGAGTAAAATCGTTTGTTTTCCTAAATTTTTTCTTTATTTTATAAAGTTTAGTGGCTACCTTTTTTGAGATGCCTGCAGGAGCAGCAGTCCTTTTCAACTTCTTGGTACGTTCTGGAGCCACAGCTTCAACACAAAGCTGAATGCGGTGGTAGAATTCATTACAAGCAATTTGTACATTCTGTGCTAAGAAGAATGGATCCCAATATGAAGACCTTATAAGATCCGAGAAAATTGACCAATTCACAGAAGAGAATGGGCGGTAATTGATCACTGATTCTGTCGGTTTAGAAAGAATTTGGAAAGAACAACCAACAATGTTATGATCACTACCCGGCAACTTGTCACTGATGTATGTGGACACATGCGAACATCCCATCGTAAATATTAGATCAAGTGTGTTACCAAGCCGTGTAGGTTCTGTGACGTGCTGTACCCATCCCAGTCGATCAAGAGTAGACATAAAAGGATTGTGTTTTTGTGGTTTATTGTTAAGGGACCATGGGATTTCGGGCATATTAAAATCCCCAGCGATTATTTTATTAGTGTATGAGAGGTCAGCAATAAGAGAGAAAGTGTCCAACAAGTCATCGGTCACGGTGAGTGTAGACGATGGGGGTCTGTAAATACAACCTACTAAGAGATTTGTTGGATTAATAGAAATTGTAATCCACACCGAATCAGGAAGACTCCGTAGGAGTGGTTCATTCAGAGGCAGAACCAAGTATTTGTCTTTGACGTAGATTATACAGCCACCACCTCTACCATAAAGGCGGTCATTACG